GGAACGGCGGGAACGGCGGGAACGGCGCGGAACGCGACCTACAGGCGGCCACAGACACAGGCAGACGCACCGGGACACGCACAGGTACACGCGCACGGCCACGCACGGGCACTCACCCCCGGCCCCGGGCTCCTCAGGGCTCCGGGCTGCAGCGGGAGGCGGCCCCGCGGCCGCTATGGGCAGACTGGGGCTGCTGGGCGGGCCGGGGCCGCGCTGGGAGCGCGGGGGCAGCCCGGGATAGAGGGGGGCCGCGGCCCCCCCACACSCCCCCGGGACCCCCAAGTCAGCGGCGCCGCCGCGAGGGGAAGGCCCGAGGGACAGGAAAGTCCCGGGCAGGGGGAGGCCCGGGACAGCGGGGAGGCCGGGCCTCGTGCGCCAGCACCTCGCCCGGCTCCTCCGCATCCTCCTCTGACCCGGCAGCGGTCCCGGGCCAGATCCCGGCTCCCGCAGGTTTCTCRAGAGAGGCCAGAAATGGTACGTTTAGAAACAGGTGGGATTTTATTTAAAAAAAAAATCACAACCATTGACATGGTAACAGTTAGCCGGCGCCTCTGGGCTTCTGCGCCTGGCGATACGAGCAAGCTCACGACGGGGGGCTGCGGCCGCAGGCGTTGAGTCAAACAACCGTCTTTGGCTGGACAACCGTTGCACTTGGTTTTAACGTTTCTCCACAAATGGTGAAAAATGCTAAACTACACACGAGGAATAATCATAATGTTGTGGCCAACATTATGAACATGGAATTATAAATTTAAAACATTTTCTGGTTTAAAAAATAAATCTGCTAGTAAATGGCGCTGGGCAGCTGTGGCTCTAGTAGGGCCGGTCTCGGCGCTCCTGGCGGTGCTCCCCCCTGCAAGCGGACGAGGAGCCGGGTGAGGGCGGCTCGAGGAAGGCGCCCGCTCCGAGGCCTCCTCTCCTCGCCCTTTTCCYGCTTCACCAAGCGGCTCCTGTGCWGGYGCCCGGCCTCCCTTCCCGCCCCGCYGCCCGGCCTCCCCTCGCTCCCGTACGTACTTGTCCATTTTTCCTGGTCCTCCGCGCCTTCCGCCTCGGCCTCCGCCTCCCATCTGCTCCAGGAGGGGCCCGGAGGGGCCGCCGGGTCCTCCTCCTCGCCGCCCTCCTCCTCCGTATCCGCCTCGGTCCACACCCCGGCCCCCGCGGAAGCCGCCTCTGTCGCCGCTGCGGCCGCCTCGGAACATGCCGCTGGGTCCCCCGCGGTCCATGAGGCCACCGCCTCTCCCGCCTCTCATGCCCCCGGGGCCGCCTCTACCACGCTCCCCACCTGGGAGAGAGGAAAACRTTCCCAGGAAAAGAGCAACCGCAGGGCAAGGAGTCTATGGGCACAGGAAAGCTGTGCTGCAAGAGCAGGSGGGACACTCTGAGGGCCAAGGACGCTGCAGGACAGGAGATCCTCTCTGCCCCCTTAGGGCCAGGGGCAGCAGGATCAGCCGGGCCTGCTGGTGGGATCAGCTCCCACTCGGGTGACGCTTCCCGGCTCTCCCAGGGCTGGAAACAGCCCCTCCAGCTGCGGCTGAGGAGCTCAAGGGCGCCGGGGCCTGGAGCCCTGCCGCGGGGACCTGGGCACACACGTACCTGGCGGGGGGAAAGGGGGTGGCAGGAACCCTTCGGGTTTCGGAGCCTTGCACTGGTTACACTCCGTTCTCCAGGCGAAGTTCTGGTTTCCGCAGCCCCTGGGCAAAACAGCAGTTAGCAAAGTCTGTGCCCCAGAGCTGGAGCGAGCCCACGGCCGGAATTCCAAGCCAAAAGGGAGGCGAGTTCCCTGCGGGGACAGCGGGGGTACTTACGGATTGGGACACTGCCAGTCCCCGGCGCGGTGCTGCACGCTACCGCTGGAGGGGTTTCTTCTGGATCCCCGGGGTCCTCTCGAGGAGAAGCCACCCCTGTCTCCGCCTCTGCCTCCCATCCGGCCCATGGGCCCACTCGGACCGCCGGGACCGCCAGGACCACTGGGACCTGCAGGAAAGCCCTGTTAACTGCAGCAACAGGCGGAGCGTGGGGTGTAGCAGGGCGGCTGTGGGCGGCGTGGCGGGCAGGTTACCTGGGCGCAGCGGGGGCGGCATCCCGCGCGGCTCACGTGGCGGCATCCCGCCCCGCACGCTGTTCAGGGAGCCCTTCTTCCGTGTCAGAGTCACCTTGATCTTGCTCCCCTGGAAATCCTTCCCTAGGATGAACAGGGCAAGAGCCTCATTTTGTGCTGGGAGCCTCTGCTCCTTCCTAGACTCCGCTACCACACACACCAGGCTAYGGAAGAGCACGAAGTCACCAACTGCACAGAGGTGTCAAAGGCAGCAGGGAAGAAGTCAACCCATGTGGGACTAAGATAAGCCCCAGATACAGGAGGGGAGTAACGGGGGAGAGGAGCCGAGGCTCCCGGGGCCAAGCACGACCCAAAGCAGCATCCTCCTGTTCAGCTAAAACCTGCAGGCCTTGAGGCAACAGCCTCTGGGATAACCCGGAGCCAGCTCCAAACGACCACAACCCTGCGTGYCCCAGGGCGCAAATGCCCACTTGGTTAGCCATGAATCCAGCCGGGACATCTTCAGCAAAGCGTTTCCGCCACGAACGCGCTCCCAAACTCACCATCAAGCCAATCTACRGCTGTTTTGGCAGCGGATGGGTCGTCATAGTATACGGTGGCATCTCCTTTGGGYTTGCCCGTCTCCTTGTCAATGTAGAGGTGTATCATAGGCTGCCCAGTCCTCTTGTTCATCTGGTAGGGAACAAACCACCAGCTCAGCTTGCATCTCGCCCTCTGTGCCACGGCTCAACCCCGCACAGCTCAGTCTCTAATTCCTGCCTCAGCCCCTGCAGCAGGTACTTCCCAAAGGAGCCAAGTGCCTCCCAAAGCACCGCTGGGCACACGGGCCTCTCCTGCAGGCACCTGGCAGCACAAGAAAGGGGCTACGCAGAGAGGAGGCAAAATCTCTTGAAGACAAAACCTCTTCTCACGCTCCTCCAYCTCTCTCCCGCCACCCATTCCCTCCAGCCTGCCAGCAGCGGATCCACAGGGACACAGCTCCTCCATTCCGAGGACGTGAGCTCTCTTGCTTCCGTAAATCCAACTGGGATGTCAAAGGACAAACCGTGCACAGCTTCCTCCCCAAAGCCTGAGCTACGGGTCACCTCCAGGCTGTGGAGATCCCAGCGCYCCCCCAGCAGGAGACCTGCCCACTCCCTGGATGAGGTGGCTGAAACGGAGACGGGTGACACGGTGGTAGGAAGGAGAAGGCCAATCCCTGTCCACCTTCCACGAGCGGGGGAGACGCTGACACGCACCCACGTGCTCCTCCTCACCCTGACAACTCCGCACTGCTTGAAGAAATCCGCCACATCCTCCAGGGTAACATTGTCATTGAGTCCCTGTACGTAAACGGAACTGTTGTCCATGTCCTCGTCTGGCTCCATAGGAGGGCCTAGGAGATAATCACAGTGTCACGACAGTGACAGGACACAAGGGACTCCAAAACGGTGTGTTTTATCAGGCCAACCCCGATGCAGGTGCTTCTCTTTCCATGGCTGTTTCCATACAGCTTCGGCAGGAGCGAGCTGGGCTGCGCCCACGGGCCGGGCCGGTTCCCTCGCGGGCAGCAGCCCCGCAGACGCCCACCCAGAGCAATGCCCAACTGCAGGGCCAGCCCCCAGGGCCGTAGCGACGGGTACGGCAGACAGGGTGGCTATGGGAAAGGGCCACATCTCTCAAACACGGGCTGTTTTCCCCCTATCCAGGTGTTCTGACGAGTCAGGAACACACGAACACACGATACGGCCGTGAAGAGCCCACAGGTGGCTGAGCATCCTCGTGCTGCTTGTCCAAGGGGGCAAGCGAGGGGCGAGAGCCCTCGCCCGGGGCGCAGGAGCTCGGGAGGGCCCCGTGTCCCCGGACAGGGGAGCCGAGCAGTCGCTTGCAATTACCTAAATCAAGGTCTGGTCCTTCTTCCGCGTGTCCTGCCAGTCGGGAGAGAACCACAGAGAGCCCAGTTAGTGCACGTCTTGCAGGCTGAAGCGACACACACAAAACTATCTACTTATAACCACCATTCGATGGCATCGGTTAAACTCAAATCTGACCTGCATTGCATGAATGTCAGCAATGCACCTTTCACTTGGTGAGCGGTTTGCTATTTTAGCAGCCTTTCAAAACCATTAACCACTTATTACACTTTTTTTTTTTTTAAATGCTTTACCAGGCCAATCAGTTTTAAGCTTATTTAAAAAAAAAAAAAAAAGTTACTTTAAAAAACATTATCAAATGCAAACCAGTTATTTTCCCCAAATTACAGAAGTGGTTTCAATTCTTCCACGTTACCCTGTGTCTTGTAACACATAGCCCTAGGCATTGCCGGCAGTACCCATTACAGTCTTGGTGCATATGTCACTTTAACCACTTATCACAGAATCACAGAATGTTCAAGGTTGGAAGGGACCTCTAGAGATCACCTAGTCCAACCTTCCTGCTCAAGCAGGCACACCCAGAGCATGTGGCACAGGGCGGCATCCAGGTGGGTTTTGGAGACCTCCAGAGAAGGAGACTCCACAACCTCCCTGGGCAGCCTGTTCCACTGCTCTGGCACCCTCACAGTGAAGAAGTTCCTCCTCACCTGGAGATGGAACCTCCTGGGTTTCAGCTTATGCCCATTACCCCTTGTCCTATCGCTGGCCACCAGTGAAAACAGCCTGTCCCCTTCCTCCCTGCATTCTCCCTTCCTGAACTTACACACATTAATCAGATCCCCTCTCAGATCTGATCTTAACCACTTATCAAACTAATACAAAAATTACACTTTTTTTTCTAAAATCTGACTGCAATTTTCATTTTTTTTTTTTTTTTTTAAACACTATCCAGTGTAATGCTCAAAAACTTACCACCGGGCTTACTGAAGCCACCTCGCTCTCCAGCGCTGCTGGGGGGATAAACGAAGAAATGAAGGCCTGTCTCTTTGCACTGGCTAAACATCTCCAAAGAATTCATCTGTCTGTCTCTCAGCTCGTCACTATGCCTTTCTTCAGGACAGCTTGCTGTCTGTCTCTCAGCTTGTCACTATGCCTTTCTTCAGGGCAGCCTGCTGTCTGTCTGTCTCTCAGCCCRTCACTATGCCTTTCTTCAGGGCAGCTTACTCAAATTTCCTTTTACATAGGTAACCTCGCTTCTGTGCTTTTAGACACCACTTTTGCTGTGGCACCCTTGCGGTGCTCGCATGGGTATTAGCAGTGCAATACTTGCCTGGGAAGGACGCACCGTTCGGAGCGCTACGGATTGGGGTGGGCTTCCAAGGCAGCCCCGGGGCGGGGGTGCTGGTCAGCTCCCTCCCCTCGCGTGTCCACAAAGGAGCACCCGCGGCCCCGCGCAGCGGGGGACAGGAGCGAGCCCGCAGGGCCGCACACACACAGGTGGAAAGGCAGGAGACACCCACACGCAATCCCTACAACACAGTTCAGCTGACATTTCCGCTAAAGCCCTCTGGATAAAGCCATACATTCGGGTTGCTACTGCATTTAACAAGTCTCTGTGGGAGGAGAAGTTACAGGAGAGCGCGCGGGCTGCAGGGCCTGGGGTGCCGCTTTGTGGACACGGGCCAGGACGGACGGACGGTGTCGCGGGGAACGCGCGGCCGCTCCGCTCGGCGAGGGCCACCCCAGGGGCAATTTGGAGGCTTCTTTTTGGAAAGGCAGAACTTGTTTGGAGGGAGGCAGGCAGAGGAGGGAGAGCACCACCTATTTTCTAGCAAGTACTGCACTTCTAATACTGGAAAAAGAAGAGTTGTCAATACACAGTTTTGAGCTGTTGCATGCAGCTTTGCCTCCTTTCGTTAAAGTACACACCATATATGTAACGTCTCTCTTTTTTAAACACATACTGTTAACACTTTTTAATGTTACACAATTCTAAAGCAGTATACCTCCTCTGGTTTTATTACCAAAAAACAAGTACGCAGTTACCAAAGTTACAGAAGGATTCCATTTATGCAATGAATACATTTGGTTAAAAATATTCTATGTATATTTTTCCTCTCCATATGGACACCGTGTCTAGTCTCACTTTTCATTATGCTGTCGGCTGAGTACTGAGTACGGGTACTTTTTAAGTATTGAAGTGTATACAAGGCTCTCACTTTGTAACCTGTAGCATATAAATGCGACAAAGCATGTTAAAAAGGTTCCACGTTTAACAGCCAATGAAAATATAAAATAATTGAGTCAATGAAAAAGGGCATGTTAATAACATTGAGCTCCTTACCTGCTGGAGACACTGAAATCCATCACCACAGCATGTTAAGAAGGGCCGAGTTCCCCTACCTGCCCTTGGTGCTCATGGAGAGGCCACCTTTTCTATGGACACCAGAAAAGCCATGTCCATAAAGCAGGGGGCCCTTCCAGCCAAGTGGGAATCACTACGTACGTTAATTKAATCTCGGATTATGGGTGTGATTAGAGACAGATGGCAAATCTTTTGCAGTGAGCTCTGAAGGAACTAGAAATTTGCAGATGTGATGATAGATATTTCAAGTGTCTACATCTACTTTAAACCGTTAGAGATAAATACATCACGGGTGAAATCTTTATATAGACCAAGGAACTTGGCTCCGCTCGTGCCAATTCAAGCCAAATGTCTTCCAAGAGGAGCACAATCTTTTTCTGCCATTTGCATGGACAGTTGCATTTCTCCGATAAAGATTTCAAGCCACGTCAACCCAGAGGACAGAGCTATGCAGACCRGTGCCGGAACCGGCGCCAAGCCCGGCTGTACGAGCTGCTGGCCAGGCTGCCCGTGCGCGGGAGCGGCGAGCCCGGCTGCCCGGCACGAGGACTGGCTCCCCGCGCCCCCCGCCGTGGTGCCCACGTGCATGTACAGACCCCCTGCATAGCTCTGGCCGCCGCTGCGAGGGGATGGAACACACACCAAGCGCCGCCCTGCTCCGCCAGCCTGCGGGGCTAGTTGCCCTCCTCACCTTTACTCCGAGCCCCCACGGGCGGGGAGAGCAACTGCCGGCCAGCTCGGCGCGTGCGGGGCCGTCCTGCCGGGCTCTGGGTGCTGCGGCAGCACCGAGCTGCGCGCCGAGGACGCGTGGGTGCCCTGTGCCCACGGCTGGCAGCGGACACGAGGCTGCCGCCGCGGACACCCCTGCGCTGTGGGKATCCCCTCAGCGAGGCGCAGGAGGCAGCTCCTGCGCCCGGGGAGCTTTGTGTGTGTTCGATCCACCGCTATGTTAAACCCCGCAGAGGATTTCGCCTCTGCGCGACCACGAAGGTTGCTGAAAGGTTTGGCAATACCCCTAATTGCCCCGGGCCCAACCAGCTGCAGGAACAACAAAAATCAGATCCTGCTCCTATTCCCCCTGGGAGAATGTTTCCATGGATTAAAAGCAATGCTGCTGCAGAGGTTTGCTCCATGGAAGTATGACTGGAATTGCCAACCTTTCAGTCCCCTCTTTGCATTCCAAATCCTATGGGTAAAATGGATTTAGGTAAAAGGAGAAAAGATTTGCTCTTACCCCATTCCACCGCGTCCTCCTCCCCGCCCACCTCTGCTCATGCCTCCGCGATCATATCCCCCTCTTCCCCTGCCCCGGCTATCAGGGCCGCTCATGTTCCGGTTCTCTCCTGGGCCTGGAAAGCCTCCGGATTCCTGTCCGTAGACACTCATGCTGCTGGGATGGTCCTGACGGAACAAACCTGAGGAAGTGTTAACGGAAATGTTAGGCAGCCGCACACCAGAGCGGCACTGAGATGCCTGGCCCCTATTAAGTCTTTCCTTCCCTGCCGCTTTCAGCACCAGAACCTAAGGAGCATCCCCCAACAAGTGTTTGCTCTATTCCTAGAGCCTGGGTGCTGTTTTAGGGAGGATGCACCGTTTTCCATCTGCGACACCAGGTTTTCCCAGTCCCAGCTCTCCTGGACTGCCACCTGGCAAGGCCCAGGCACTTACGCCAAGTCCTGCCCACTCCAGGCCGCCCCAAGATCTCCCATTTCGGTGCCTTTCAACTACCCATCCCCTTCCCGCAGCCCAAGGCACCCACTGCGCTYTGTCCCCAAGCCAGACGGGCCGGTTTGCAGCACCGAAGGACCAGAACAGCCCAGGGATGCTCTGCCTTCGATGCAAAGCGGGACCCCCTGGGCCCCTCTCCGCACACACAGCACACCCGAGCGTGCGAGAGCCCGCAGCCGAGCCCTGCGGCTGCTGCTACTCGTGGCCCACTCACTCTGCTGGCTGTAACTGCTGCTCGGCTGGCTGTACTGGCTCGGCGCCTGGCCGTAGGAGCCGGTCGGGGGCGGGTAACTAGTTGGTGGAGGCTGCTGCCCGTAGCTGCTCTGTTGGCCATAGCTGCTCTGCGGCCCGTAGCTGCCTTGATGCCCGTAGCTGCTCTGCTGGGAGTAAGTGCTCTGATCGTAACTGCTTGGCTGCGTGGAGGAGTAGCTGGAAGACAAAAGCATTAAACACACGGAAGGGTAAGTCCATTCACCGGGCCGGGCGCATTAGCCCGYGGCAGCGTCTCGCTAGGGAGCCATGCAATTTTAAGCCCTATGTATTATTGGAAAAACAAAACCAAACCAAAAAAACACACCACATTTAAAAAGGTGAAGACAGTCTGCGGAGGCTATTCTGATGGCGGGGGAAAAAATAAACCTGGCTGATTTTGCTTTTAGCAGTCCACATGACCACTGACCACTCGTGTTTTGTGCATAGTTCTAGAAAGAGGCAAAAGCAGCAGGGTTAAAATCAGTGGCAATGCAGACAAGAGGCTCCCTCTGCCTGGGCACTGAAATGCTCTCCTCTGGTGGATAATGAAGTTCTGCTTCATGTATTTCAGGCTTTGGGATATTCCAAAACACGCAGGCTAGAAGTCGGCATCAACTCCATATGTAAGAGCAGATATTATGGACAGCCGAGGTCAAAGCCATGACAAGGACGTGGCCAAGGGGCACTTCCACACCCCAGATGTGGGAAATTTCTTAAAAGYATTTGGCATTTTTGCCTTGTCAGTGCAGATCTGAATGCAGAGACACCTATTCWCTTGCTCATAGCCTCATCATCCTTATGAGAAGCATCACGCCTGCCTTCCCTCAGACATCAAACCTCCCTTTACATTYGTTCATCCAAAATCCCTTTCCTTCCCCCGCAAAATTGCCCAAGCGAAGGCAACAGTTCCAAGCCCAGCTGCCCCAGGCCTAGCCTTTGCAGAGAGTTACCTGGTGGGAGGATAGGATGGAGGCGCCGTGACCGGCTGCATGGGGTAACTGGCAGGCACCTGAGGATAACCGTAGTTACTCTGGCCRTAGCCCAGGCTGGGCTGGCTGTAGCCTGTCGTACTTGACGGGGGCTGGCTCGTCTCTGCTGGTTTACTGCCATCCTGGGGTCTGAAAAGCAACACTCAACAGTGAGGAAACACTGGCACAAACCTGAGCAAGTAAAGCCCTCGGATCCTCCCTCTCCTTACAATATAAATGTGCTGTTTCTTGGGGAATTGCCACAAGCCGGCATCAAATCGGTGTCAAGTCATTCTGACAGCAGTTCATATGCACCAGTTACACACTAAACRTTTTGCCATCACTGATAGGTACTTTATCTGCTCCCGTGCCACCAGGAAAGGCTTGGGCAACATCATTAACAGAGCACTTAAAAAGGACTAGAGCTTGTTTGCTGGCTGCGTTGTGAAACCTCACGCCAGGGATTTAGACTTTGGCTCCAGAATGACCGAAGGATGTGAAAGGGCCGGGAATCAGCAGCAGTCACTCCAGCCAGGCTGGCTCGGCACAGCCCTCGTAAACCATTAGCTAAAGGCAGCCAGAAACTACATCAGTTAAAGGCATCTGTGTTTGGCTTCCAGTTCAGGGCAATGAGGTCTTGCTCCATATACATGACTGGAGAGCAAWGCTCGGGATGAACCCTGAAGGTCTGAAAATGAAGAGGGCTCTTGCACAGAATTCACACTTCCCCTTCTTTCAGTGTTGGCCCTTCCTGTTTATAATCTTATGGAGTTTCTCAAAGCTGAGTGAAAACAATCCAACTACTTCCGCTGTAGAAGCTGGGAAATTATTTATTTTAAATGACTTGAGAACTATTGTTTCAAGTGTTACCTGAAAGACAGGGATAGAGCTGCGTTAGGCTCTATCTTTCCTAACCAAAGGAGCTACTGCAAACATCAGGTAAATGAATAAAGCAGCTTGTACGTGCTACTAAATGAGGTTCTATTATATATTCTAAAAACTTCCTGCAGTGAGCAAACAGCTACGCTAAACATGCAAACAACAGTGTGTGAGGCCGCGTGATTTAAAAAACAAACTGCCCTCTGCACATGCACCTATTCGCACCGCAGCAGCCCAGGCCAGCCCGCGGCTCAGAACCAGCCCAGGCCCTGCCCGATCTGCTCTTTCACACGTCCTCGGTGCAGAGCCACGGAGCCGGGGCCTCGGAGGGCGCTGGGAGGAGCCGCAGCCGGAGCCGAGCGGCGCCGGGAAGGCCCRTGCAAGCCCCGCGGGCGCCGGCGGCCGCGGTTACCTGGCGGGCGGCGCGGCGGGCGGTGGCTGCCCGTAGCTGGGGTAGGCGGGCTGGCTGCCGTAGGCGGACGGCGCTGCGTACGAGGCCTGGGTGGTGGAAGCCGTAGCGGCGTTAGTGTCGTAGCTGGCTGTGCCGTAGCCCTGCACGGGCTGGCTGTAGGCCGGGGGGGCCGCCGGCGCGCTGTAACCTGCAACAAACAACAGCCGCCTCAGGTGAGCGCCTCAGGCTTGTGGTTTACCGAGACCTCAGAAACACTCAGATTGTGTCAATTCAGGAATATTGCAAGGAACCGCAAAAGGACACCCAAACGCAGGACCCTTCGATAACCCCCGCAAAGGGAAACCTCTTCCTACACCCGCGGGGATCAGCAGCTGCGCTCCCGGACCCCAGGGCAAAGCGCCCGTCAATCGGTGGCTACAGGCGGATGGCTCAGAGCTCCCGCCACTCGGAGCCCACGCGGGACAAGCGGAGACACGCAGAGCCTCTGAAAAGCAGGAGCCACATAAAGGCCTTTAAGGCCTTAACGCAATTGATTAAAAAAGGAGTGTGTGGGGGGTGAAGTTCGATCCCATCTTTTCAGCATGTCTGAAAAATGAAAGCACAGAACGGCACAAGCCTGGAAGTTCTGAACAACCGTCCAGGAATATCTGAGATGCCAAATGGCCTCCATTTAGATTAGTCTTGCCAGCAGCCACCACGGGATGATTTAGGTGACCATTTGGGTTGATACAAAGATGAAAATCGGGTTTTTGCCTCAGTGAAGAAACTTGCAAGCAGACTTTCAAATCACAAAAGAYTAGACGTAGAACTTCACCAATTAAAAATGTTGCCAGCAGAAGCTGATTTACTAAAACCACAAACTTTGATTGCTAAAGAGCAGCCAACCGGTCTCCATCTTACGGTCACGCTCTTAAATGCATCAATTAAAACAACAGCTTCTCCTTCGCTTGTTATTTTTATTAAACATAAGACATGGGAGACGTACTCTTCCTTCTAGATACACAGCATTTTAGACTAATSGTGCTGTAGTGTTTGTTATTTCAATTGCCCAATTTGCAAAGAAAGGAGAGCGAGGCTGATGGATCTGCAGCTCCTTCCTCTCCCTCCCAAAGCCCCTTCCCGGCTCGCTGGGCTTCCCAGGTACCTGCCACCACATCAGGCCCCTTCCCAGCTGCCTGTGCTAGCAAGAAAAGAGGAAGAGGAGTGAGAAGAGGAGTCATAAAAGCACCAGAGAAAACTTGTCTCCCACCAGGAAGCACCTGTATGAACGGCCAGCAAATCAGTTCCCAAAATGGTTCAATCCTTTTTGCTRAGAGGATCTCTGGAAAGCAAAGTCYTGTTCCAAGAGTTACTGAAGAAGGGTGCATGATGCTGAGCAGAACAAAACAAACACGATCTAGAGCCTCGGGCAGACTGAAACACATTGAAATGTTTCATGTGAGCCACCCAAGACACTGCACCAAGACCAACCAACACCAAAAGTCCTTACTGAATCCTTATTGAGCGTGGCTGAAGTCTGAAAACTGATTGAAAAGGGCTAGAGTCTGCGATCAAGTCAATTTTGAAGTGTCACTGAACCCAAAACTCGAGTCCCAGTCTCACCGCCGGGAGTCTTGTCACAGGCAAGAGGCACAGACAGGTTTTCCCAAGTCCAAACATTTTGGAGCAGTTAGCAGTACCCTCATCCCTCAAAAAGGATAAGAAGGAAAAGAGASTGTCCTGAATATTGATGTTTTAGCTCAGATGCACAGAAAATCTTCAGGACTACKTTGTGTGTGTGTTGGGGGCGGGCAGCAGTAGCCAATACGGCTGTGGCTGTGTTAAATTCAAATTCTGAGTATTAAAAAATAAAATAGGCGACATATCTAACTCCTAAATGTCCCATGTAAAAAGAGAAATGGGAGTTAGTTATTCGTAGAGAACAGGTCTCACTTAGCTAGTTAAAGCAGATTCATATTTGGATATTTGAAATTCTGCACTTGCCCCAAAATGCCACTTTTAGCAATCCAATTATCACAGCAGATGCAACTCATATTTACTCTCATAATTCACMCTTAGACACTGCTGTGATTAAAGAGCAAACCACGACCGCAGATTTGATGGGGCCAATTAATCCTCTGATCCACTTTTGGACTGGGGGGTAGCAGACGAGTCTGTGGGCTCCTCACCTCCAAGTCCCTCTCTTTTGTACCAAGGTGACACGATGACTCCAAGACACCTTTTCCTGTGGCCTTCTGGAGGCGAGAAGCAACCTCTGTGTTAACTCTCACCTCGAGCAGCCCGAGAGGGCCAGGTGCTTTGTCCTGCACGAGGTGGCCGGGCAGGTTAAAACAGCCCTAATCTGAGCGACGAGGGGATGCAGAGGAACCGGCTCTGCCGTTCTCGCAGTCGGGAGGCTGCATCTGCCCCGCTTGGGGATGACAACAGCAGCATCTTGCACAAAAATGCACCGTTAAGATAAAAAGGCACTCTGTTTTCAACTAACTCCAGTCGTTCCCCTGCTAAAAAAAGTCAATCCCTGGGAGAAATGCACTGAAATTCAATGCAAAAGCTGCAAGTGTCTTTGGGCGCCGAGGTGTGTGCCCCAGGGAACACCGTGAAACAAATRTTCACAAGCCCAACGTGATCTTCCATTTGACCACTATGTATTTCTTTAAAATGAAAAATAGAAGTCTTTTTTTTTTTTGCCTAAAAAATAAGGTATACAGGCAAGATTTATTTCTTGCTAATGCATYATTCTCCCTCAAACCAAAGGGACAAGCAAAAACTCAGCCAGTACAAGAACCTGTGACCCCCACAGGACTGAAGCCAGCAGGAAGGACCAAGGGAGTCAGGTATTTACAATAAAAAAACCTTAGGAGTCAACACTCTACTACTGCTTTGTATAGCTTATATATTTTCTAAAATATGGTTTATATATTTGCAGAGTGTCAAAGGGAAAGGAAGAAGCCCACAGAGAGTCTGCAGTGCCACTGACTAAGGGCTACTTGGTTTTCATTCTGCAGGACACGAGCCAACTGGCAGGCAGAAACTTTTGTCATCCATAAAGATGTTTAATCTTCACTTCCATAAAGATGTGGAGCTGGAGATACTATATGAGAGGTTTTTCTCCCTCTACTTGTTCCTTGTAAAGCCACCTCCTACCATTTCAGGGGCCAGATACATAGGCACAGTCCCTGTCCATGCTGGTACTCATAATCTTTGGGAAATATTTAAGAAAGATCCTGCTAGAGTAACGTTAGTCCTTCATAAGAAAGGTGGATCTGTAGATAATGACACTTAGAGCACTGCACGAAGGAGACCTTGCATCCTTTTTTTCAGCAACTTCTGAAYAGCCAGGTCCAGATAGGAATATGTCTCAATAGTTGCTCTTTTCAACAGCAAGACATTTTCACAAAAGTCCAGTTTAAAGAGCGTATGCTGGAGTAATTTACAGAGCACTAATGAAGATGTGAGAGATGCATCTGCRCTGGAAACGCAGAGACAGAACACGGAACACCCAAGTGTGGTGGCCAGGACATCTGACGTGTCTAAACATGTTGTTCCTAAACGTATCGTTTAGGGAACGATACGAATACGACAAGGGGCTCAATTCACCTGAAACCTCGTGGAACAGCTGCTGTTACCGCAGGGGAAGTTCTACCCATAAAGCAGGTCGCTCAGAGGAACTCTGCACAGCTGCTCATTGGAGATGGGGAACTTGCATTACAGGCTAGCAAAACTCTCACTGTACCTGGYGGGTGTTGTGAGCACTGTGATGCTGCCGGGTTTTGTGCTAAAAGGGACACCTAAAGGGTTAACTGCACCAGGTTTAGACAGGACGAGACAGCATTTCCCATGCAAGAGTGAGCAGGATAGTCAAACCTGTGCTGGACCCTTCTACTGTGGGAAGCACAAGACAAGAAGTAGCGGGAACACTCTGAGAGCAGGCCCACAGTCATGTCCACCCCTCTGATTTTCAGGCAGCTGGGAAGAGTTGAGGGGAAAAGCTCCGTGCACGGGTGCCAAAGCCAGGGCGCACGTTCCCCTGGCTTGCTGCCCACGGAGGGGGCAGCTTTAATCTTTTTAATTCACACGGATGCTCTGCGGCCATGCTCAGCTCCACAGCATAAGGCAGCACCCAAAAGGCTCCCTGAAAAACCAAACGTGTGTTCGTTTGCTCCTGGCACCCGCCCACCCACGTTTAGCATCCTCTTGCTGCCCTCTCCTCCACGCAGGCCCTCCCTCGGGGGAGTACAACCCYTTCCACATCAAAGCAGCCCCAGCAATTGGGCGCGGTTGAGGCCRGAGCTCCCAGGACAAAGCAAAGCCCTGAGCTGAGCTCCATTGGCAGTGGCTCTTACCGGCGGGAGGCTGCCCGTAGGAGGTGGCGTACGCGCTCTGCCCGTACGTGCCGCTCGTCTGGGGCTGCGTGTAGCTCACGTCAGCGGGCTGCCCGTACGATCCGTAGCTCTGCTGCCCGTAAGTCTGCTCCAAAGAGGACAGGGGTTGAACTGGGGAAGTGATTTCCGCGCCTCGCACAACCCGCGCCGCGGCTGCCGCGAGGGTGCAGGTGCTGCTGCAAATCTCCGTTCGGGGCTGCARTGAGTTCCCACAGAATGGTTSAGGTTGAAGGGATCTCTAGAGATCATCTAGTCCAACCCCCTGCTCSASCAGGGACACCCGGTYGCATCCAGGCGGGTTGGGAGATCTCCAGAGAAGGAGCCTCCACAAACTCCCTGGGCAGCCTGTGCCAGGGCTCGGGCGCTCTCGTATTGCAGAAGTTCCTCCCACCTGGAGATGGAGCTGTCTGGGTTTCAACTTACACCCATTGCCCCTTGTCCTGTCACAGGCCACCACTGAGAAGAGCTGAGCCCCTTCCTCCCYACATTCCCCCTTCAAGTACTTATGTATATTGATCACATCCCCTCTCAGCCTTCTCTTCTCCAGAGAAAACAGGCCCAACTCAGTCAGTCTCGAGAGATGTTCTAGTCCCTTAATCGTCTTTGTTGTCCTGAATTCCCGAGTGCCACTTCTCAGGGCCATGGCTGGAGGGGCATCTTCTTAAAAGGGCACAAAATGCCTCTCTCTACGCAAATCAAAACGTGGAAATGTTTGGCTTGTCATTATCTAGGCACACAGGAACATCAGCTGCTTCCCCACATAAGCTGAAATACCAGCAGTGGGTCTAAGATTTAGAGCTTTAGTGCAGAACTGCATTAAAGAAAATAAATCCCCTCACATCAACACAAAACTGCCTYAGCGCTGACCAGGAGGTACCTGCTTGAGCATGCAGTTAAGAATATTCTTTATGCCCACTTTGCAAGAGTTTTAAAAACAAGAGACCCCCTGGGCATCCTCAGGTTTACCCTTCTCCAAGGTGTCCCAGCTAGGGCTACATCTGTTTTCGTGCCTTTGGGCACACGTCCGGCAAGAGGGCAGCTCTCAACCCGCACCCTACCCGAAGTTCACATCCAAGTCCAACCRCTAAAGACCAGTTTCTGCTCCTTGTCTTGCTCAGCCCCAAGGGCAGCACCACGAGCAGCAGCCCAGGGTGCCTGGATTAGCGCTGAGCTGCTGGTGCTGCAGTTTCACCAGCTTAAGATCTAACTGTGCCACTGGCTCCAACACCAGGAAGCGGCCAGCTTCCAGCAGATCCCTGTGGTCAACAGTTTGGGCTAGGACAAAACTCTACTTACAGCTTGAAAAGCAGCACCAAGACAAGCCTCAGCGTCTAGATTCTTAAAGCTATTTACTGATTTCAGTGAGAGCTGGAAACCTAAAAGCCTTTTTGGATCTAAGCTGTTCTCACTAGACTCAGGCCACAAATCTTAACCAAGAGCAGAAAAGTTTGACCAGACTCGATTTTTTCCTCCTTTTGTCAAAATCCACTACAAGAGGCAGGAAATGCTGCCAACCTCTCGTGGCTATTTGCCTGCAGCTGAGTTTGAGATGCGCCAGGCTCGCACTACAGCATGTTGATGAGGTCTGTTTTTCTGTGCTAGTTAGACCATTTTCACTTATTTTTCTGCATAACCTCTGCATTCTGAAATAATTCTTGAAACTGTTCTGTCTCAATATATTTATTCAACACAAAAACTGTGGTGGGCACCATTTCGGATGACCCAAATGCCAGGAAAGAGCTTTAGGCTCCTCTTGTAACAGTGATCTTTGTACAGAGAGCAGTTTTACACTGCAGCAGTAAGTTAAAAAAAAAAAAAAAAAAAAAAACACACGTGGAATGTACATAAATGTGTTTGGACCCTAAGGATTACAGAAGCATAATTTAATTAATCTCTTAAAGATCACTGTCATTTTGCAGTCTGAAAACATTAATAGTTTTAGCTTAAACTTAATGAAAAATCTCCAACTCCTCCAACTGCTGCAATTTCACAAAGAGCATCTTTTTTTTTTTTTTTTTTTTTTTTTAAGAGTATCTCCTACTCTGCCGAGCAAAACATGCACCAAAACACTGGCACTAAACACACAGCAAACTCCAGATTTTTATAATTTTTTTCAGCAACAACAATCTCAGGCTGGGAAATATCAAGGGGACTGCTGAAACTCTTTGCTTTTTGGGCTATACGTTAAGCACGCAGTTCTGATTGCGTGGGAAGCTAAAGGCACCTTCTTAATGATGGTTTTTGACACTGATACCCCGTGTTTTTCACGGCTGGCAGAGCCCCATGCAGGGAGACACGGGATTCCGTAGCACTTAGGAAAACGTTGTGTGTTTTACCTGGGTGGGCTGTGCGTATCCCTGCGCTGGCTGAGGTGCGTACGTGCTGTAGCTGCAAAACAAATACAGASACACTTAAACTGCAGCCCCATATTCCCGACCTCGGCAGCACGTGCATCACACACAACAACTTCCAAGCATCCGAACGACTTCTGCTGAAATCCCAAGGCAATAAGGAATCTAAGATTTAAGGGAAAACCGTAGCACTTGCACCTACACTTGAGTGAAAACACAATTATTACACCTTTTTAGAGGACAGAAGATAAGACTATGATGCTACTTACCCCTGCTGGGCCGCAGCTTGGCTATAGGTACTATAATCTACAAAGAAAGAAAGAAAAAAAGGTTGAAAAGTCATTTAACAAAATCAACAGTGAAAGAGCACAACAAAGATGTTTAATAAAACAAACAGTGTAAAAGCAGCTGGAATTTCCTCCAATGGCTCGAAAAGAGAAAGAGCTGCTACAAACCACTGGAAATCATAGTTTCGAAAGGCCTAAGGTAAATGCATTTTGGAGTCTTTTTTGAAGGAAACAAAACCTCTCTTCCCCACGTTGTTCAGGCAGTTTGTAGCAGCAACTTTGATCTCAAATGACCCTATTTTAATTTAACTGCCACCCTGGATGACACCCAAGCGGCCTGGCAGGAGGGTGTTTTGTTTGGGAACAAAAGGAACACCGGGGCTGACACTTAGAAACCCTCCTTTGGAAAGGCCAGGTTGGTTGCAGGCTCTCTGSGCTGCAGGCATTACAGTACTTCGCTCTTTCTGTTCAACTTTCAGGGGCAAAAACAAATTGCTGGAAAGTTCTGCCACTCCGAACCAAAGTTCAAGACAGGCGGCTGGCAACAAATCCCTTCCGAAAGCCCCGACCCGAGGCTAGCGCCTGATTCGGAGGAAACCCAAAATTCAGCAAACGCCAGCAAGGAAAGTCCATTCTGGCCCGTGTGGTTTGCTGCACGGGATGGAAACGCAGCCGCACGGCAATTTCCAGGCTATATTTGAAATGATTACAGCTCCTACATGGAGGCTTCCCCTCAAACTGCCAAGCGTTTCCTAGTTTCCTCCCAAACATCTCCAGCAAATGGTAGCGACGCGCTCGTCGCTTCGACCAAACCTTCCCAGACAAATTCCAGCTCTTCCAGGATCGGAAGATGTCGGGGAAAGGGTTAACCTGAGAAGCAGTTGGGCGAAGGGAAAACAAGGCGCACAAAATGGAGGCGCTGAAGCCACGAGGCGGCCACGAGGCAGCCCTCTGCAGGAGCGTATCCGGCACGAGGCGACACGGCGCCGTCGGCGCGCGGTCCGGTCCGGTGTTAGCGGATAAAAGGSAACAGTTAAGGCATTAAAGAGAATACTTGTTCAACCCCGCAAATAGTCCACCAGAGCTTCCCTGGGGGGAACGAGCCACAAGATAATCCGTGGTGAAAACCCGGTGCTCGCAGGCCTTGAGCCACTGCAGCAGTGTGCCACTCGGCCCAGGGCACCAGGGGACATTTTGGGGACCCCGTTTCACACTCCACAGGCTGCAGGCCCCGTGTGCTCAGCCCCGGGCTCGCCCGCAGCAGAACCTGCTGCTCCTCTCGCCAGCCCCTCTCCTCCTTCCCGCCGCATGGAGCGGCGGTTCAGGCTCCGGGAGGGTGCCGGGAGGAGATGCCAGAGCTTTGGCAGCCGCTCTGGGCAGCCGGGAAGCACCTGGCTCTGGCCACCAAGGTGCTCGGCCRCTTCCAAGGCTTCCAAGCACCGGAGCCAGGCCTAGGAGAGCGGCGCTCTGAAAAGCCAGGCCTTAGACGCCGCTGATGCCCCATCCAGCCTGGCCTCTCCGGCAGCCCCGGGGGCTCCTGCTCCGCTCCTTCCACCCGCAGCCGTCTCCAGGAACGTCCTCTCATTTGCCAGAGCAGATCAACACACACAATCATGTATATAACACTAGTATCATTTTTAAAACACGTCCCAGCTCTTATTTCCAAAGGGAAACCAATCTGCATCCTTCTGGTTGAGGCAGCTCCAGCCCTAAAACAGCAGCTCCCATCTCCATGCGCTAACTGGAGGGGCAGCTGTGCTTTTAACCCTGCTCTTGGCATTTCAYTCATCTTCCTATTCCTTAAGCGCTCCCAGGCGTCTTGGTCATTGTCCTCGGGGAASGCAGGTCTGTGCCGGGAGCCCCGGATCCGGGCACCCCGCGGGCCCCCCGGGAGAGGCTCCTTCCCAAAGCAGCGACGCCGGCAGCGGCTCCGCAGCCCCGTGGAGCGGGAGCCTCCGCACGGAGGGGTCTGGGGGGCCGGGCCCACGGCACGYGCGTCCCCGTGCGGGGCCTAGCGCATGCAATAAGCATGTCTGTTCACTAAGGCTACTGAAAGATTTTGTTAAGCAACCACATGTTCATTGTATGGCACGGGGTGAGACGGAGGGCACTGAGGAGGGCACTCTGCCCTGCTCCAAAGACCACCAGAAGGCGGATCACGACCACATAGCAACAGGCGGCGCATCCTGATTGGACAGCGTCGACCACGGCGCCGACTCCGCAGAACCTTCCAGAACCTTCCAGCACGACCACCAAGGGCGGAGCTGGGACCCTGCCSTACCGAAACTTCGAGAACTGGGGGCGGGGTATGAGCGTGGTTCCCTCGAGGCCGCCCCAGCGCTGTCACCCTTGGTATCCACCCTACTCTAATAAAACGTAGATGAGAAATCGGCTCTATCTATGACAGCGCGCACTGTCACTGTCGCGCTGTTAATTTAAAAGGAGAAAAACAAAAAGGAGCTAACCCCCCCAGGGGCTGCCCGCAGCGAGCAGGCGGGTTGCGACGCGTCACCGCAGGGGACCCGGCGGGGACASTGCGGGGGACTCGGCCCTGCCGCACCGGGCAGCCCGCTGCTGCCTGGGCTGCCTGCAGGCCCGCGCCGCCCTCGCGCCCAGCGACGCCGCGGCTGGGCCCGCCCGGCCCGGGCTCCGCAGCGGCGGCGGCTCCGGGGCCGGTCCTGGTGCCGGTCCCGCGGGCCGGGCCGGGGTGCSCCGCGCCGCGGCCCCGCTCACCCGTCGACGCCATTTTCTCGCCTCCCTCCTCAGCGCTCCCAACGTCCAGCCGCTGCGAGTGCCGCCAGCCCGCGCCGCGCATGCGCCGCCGCCGCCACACCCCYCCCACCTCGGGCCGCACCACGGCGCCCGTGCGGGGGGGTGTGCGGAGAGGCGCCGCAGCACCGCACCGCACCGAGAGGCAGTGCGGGCCGCCGCCGCCGCAGGAGCGGATCTGTAGTGACACGATGGAAGTGCGGGATCGGCCTCCGGGGCGGCGGGGGCCGCTGGGCACCGTGGTTCCGTCGCGCTCTCCCGCATGCCCCCCCCGCGCGGCTCAGTGGTTCGGCCCGCCGCGGTTAGGGAGCGTCGCGCAAGAGCCGCCCCGGCCGCGGGGCGCTGCTGCCGCCTGACGTCACGCGGCGGCACCGCCTCCGCGCGTGATGTCACCGACTGACGTCACGCGGCGGCTGCCGCGATATCACGGGGCGCCGCGCGCGCGGGACTGTGGAGTGATGTCACGACAGCTCCCATTGGATTGGCTGCCGCGTGGGCTGTGCGTGATGTCATACCGCCATGCTGCATGACATCATCCCACCGGCGTGACGTCACGCAACTGGGTCGGGCGGGGCCTCCCTGTGGCCCCGGCTGGGCGTGGGCTGAGACCGGACACACCTCATTGCCCTGGCCCCTTCCAGGCTGCGCCCAGGCTCCCGGCCGGGGCGCTCCTGGTGTCCCCAGCGTTCCCGTTCCGCAGGTCCCCGTTCCCGGAGGAAGGACGCGCTCGGGGCCGGGCACGGCTCGGGGCAGGCGTTTAATGTCCTCGCGGCGGGGAGGGGACACAAACACGCGCGGAGCGGCGCGGGGACGCGGGCGGCGGGCGCCCCGTCACGGGCGGTGGGTGCTGGGGTCCCCGTCACGGGCGGGCGCCGCGCGGCCCCCCGGCGTCGCTGCCCGATCCGGCCTCCGGCTCTGCGGGAAGAGAGGGGACGTGAGGCCGTGTCCAGGCTCCCGCGCGCCCCAAGTCCCCCCGGGACCCGGCGGCACCCCCTGCCTGGCACCCGGCTGGCACCCGCGGCTGGCGCGGCAGGACGAGCCCCTCCCGCCGGGAAGCAGGGCCGGGATGCGGGAAGGGCAGCGCGGATGGGCACCCGCGGGAGCCGCCGGGCTCTCCCCCAGTCCAAGAGGGGCCCTTGGTCTGAGAGAGGCTCCCGCGGCTCCTCAGGGCCTCAGGGAGCTCCACAGCCTCCCTTGATCCAAGAGGTCTCCATGGCCTCCCTTGATCCAAGAGGTCCTCCAGGGGCTCCCCTAATCTTTGGGGAGCTCCAGGGTCTCCCTTGTATCCAGAGCGACTGCAGGGCCTCCCTCCAGAGCTGCAAGGCTCCGCGTTACTCCTCGGGGAGCTCCCAGCTCTCCCTTGGCCTCCTGGCTCCAGGGTCTCCGTGGTGTCCCTTGGCTGGAGGGGGCTCCGGAGGGGAGCTCCGTGTCCCGGGCAGCCCGAGCTCCGGGGGCAGCGGGCGGCGCGGTTACCTGGCCCGATGGCGGCTTCCAGCAGGGTGACCCTCCTAGCCCGGAGCTCCAGCCGGGCCCGCGGCCGCCGCACGCTCGGGAAGCTACTGGCCTGGGGGAGGGCGAGAGAGCAGAGCAGAGCGCGCGCGGGCCGCCGGCACGGGCACACGGGCACACGGGCAGCCAGGGCAACGTGGGCGGCGCGGGTGGCACGGGTGACGCAGGCGACATGGGTGACAGGAGACACAGGAGACGTGGGTGAAAAGGGTGACATGAGTGGCAAGGGCAACATGGGCACCATGGGCGATGCGGGTGACACTAGTGATGTGGGTGGCATGGGTGACACGGGTGACACAGGTGATGCAGGTGACATGGGTGATGCGGGGTGACGCGGGCGACGCGTGGCCGGCTCTGGCGCGTGCGGGGCGGCGCTCGCCGGGGTCCGGGTGCTCGCGGGCTGCCGGGGCTGCCCTGGTGCCAGCGGGTGCTGCCGGGGCCGCCGGGTGCTGCCCAGGGGATGCCGGGGCCCCCCTGCCCTTGTCCCCCACGGTGGCTCCTGGGGTGTCCCATGGCACCAGCCGTCCCCCTGAGGGACGCCGGGCTCCCCCCGCGCTCCCGCCCCACCACGCACTGACCCCTGCAGTGCCGGACGAGGCGGGACGTGTCCCCAAGCTGCCCTGGTGCCACCGGGTGTCCTCAGCGCTCACACTGGGCTACCCCATGGCCCTGTGTCCCCAAAGTGTCCCCTGGCCCCACGGCGGGACGCGGTGCCGCAGCCTGGCCCCTCCTGGGTGACGGTGTCACCCGTGGGAGCCCGAGGGGTGGCCGCGGGGCGGCCCTGCGCCCCCACTCACCGTAGAGCCCAATCATGGTCTCCAGGATCAAGACCCTCTCGGCTAAGATCTTGAGCGCCTCGCGGAGCTGGTGCAGACCCTCCCCCTGCGAGCGAGACACGGCGCCCGTGAGGGGGTGCTGGGGGGCCTGTGTCCCGCAGCTGCCGCCCCATTGCAGAGCTGGGCGCCCCCGACCCACCGCAGCGGGGAGCAGACATTCGGGGCGCCCCCCAGCTCTGCACCCCATGGCCCTGCAGCCCCCCCCACCTGGGGACATCGACACCCCGGCACGGGCACCTCCAACCAGCCCTGCATTTGGGGACAGGGACCAGGCGCAGCGGGGACCCCCTGCCATCATCAGGGTCCCGGGGATGCAGCGCGGGTGCTGGGCACAGCTGGGAYCCTGCCGTCACTGGGGGCCTCAGGGGTGACATGTGGGGACCCAGTGCCCGTGTCGGGGTCCCAGGAGTGACGCGCGGGCACCAGGCACAGCAGGGACCCCCGTGCCCGTGTCGGGGTGCCAGGGATGAGATGCTCATGCGGCACACAGCCCATGTGGCGGGCACCGGGAGCACGTTCCCGTGCGGAAGGTCCGCGCCRTGCCCTGGCTGGGGGCGGCCGCCGCAGGGCCCCGTGGCCACGCGGTGGTGGCCGCGGCAGGAGGAGCCGCCGGCCACTCACCCAGGTGCCCTTGTCGCCCGGCTGGCCGCGGGGGCCCGGCTCGCCCTGCAACACACAAGGCAGAGGGACGGGCAGAGGGGGGSCCGTGGGGACAGCCCCCCGCGCCGCCCCCAGCCCCTACCTGCGCCCCGTCCCGGCTGCCCGGCTCTCCCTGCGGGCCCTGGCGAGCGGGGACGGGGGTCAGATGGGGGGTGCAGCCCCTGTGGCTGCCCCTGAGACCTCCCACGCTCGGTGCATGCGTGGCGCCCACCCTGGCACCCCGACATGGGCACGGGGGTCCCTGGGTGGTGGGGGGGACAGTGGGGACAACTCACCCTGTCGCCCTTCTCGCCGGGGGGGCCGGCGGCTCCGGGTGCTCCGGCTTTACCCTGTGTGATGAACCCGCCGGGCTCAGCCGGGGGTGCCCCGGCGCGGAGCCCCCTGCCCCAAGCTGCCATTCTGGGCACTTACTTGGGGTCCTGGGGGGCCGGGCAGCCCAGGGGGGCCGGGGGGGCCCGGGGGTCCTGCAAGGAGGTAGTCGCAGCTCAACAGGGGGGTCACAGGAGCTGAGCCCCCCCCAGCTGCACCTCGGGAAGGGGGACACTCACCCATGGGCCCCATGGGGCCGGGGGGGCCCACGATGCCCCCGGCCGCTTCCGTGAAGCTGTTGGAGAGCAGCGGGTCCCCTGCGGGACAGCGRGCGGCCACGGGGTGGGCGGGGGGCTCCGCACCCCCCGGCACCACCCACGACGAGACGGAGCCGCCCCGAGCCTGGCGGCGCCTCCCGCCTTGTCCCCAGGGCCCCCCCTTGTCCCGCCTTGTCCCCAGTGCCGGGGACACGGACTGGACGTGCCAGATGTCCTGGCACCTCCCAGCCGGGTGTCGCTCCCGGCTCCTTCCTGGCTGTGTCTGACATTGGCGGCCAAGAACTTCCCGGGAGCCTCGGGAAACAGGRGGGGAGGAGAGCCCCCCCCCCCCCGCCAACTTAGAGCCACGCGGAGGGGACCGGGGCACAGTCCTGTATCAGACAGTGGAGACTCCACAGAGGTGCCTCCCGCTCCGCCGCGGGGCTCTCCCTCCTGCCCCCTCCAGCGCTGCGGTGTTGCGGAGCCCCCAATGMGGATCCCCCCCGCAGCCCTTGGGGGACCTGCACCCTTGGGTGCTGAGGTGGGGGGCAGGTCCTGCTGGCCCCAGGGCCCCCCCGTCCCCAGGATAGCGCTGCAGGGGGGACCCCTGCTTACTTGGGTTGGACACGCGGGATATGGCCGGTCCCAGGGGAGCCCGGGGGGGCCCGGGGGGCCCAGGGGGGCCGGGGAGCCCCGGCGCCCCCTTTTCTCCAGGGAGGCCCCTGGCTCCGTCGCGGCCGGGGGCTCCGGGGGGGCCCGGCGGCCCTGGAGGGAGGAAGAAGAGGGTGAAGGCTCCGTGTGTGACCCCCCCGGCGTGGGGAGGGTGTCTGAGCATCTGGGGGGAACCCCAGTGAGCAGCGAGGAGATGTCGGGGGGCTCCCTGGGCCCCTCCCCATCCCTGGTGGTCAGAGGGGTGGCTCTGTCCTGGGGGGGGGTCATCTCCATCCCGGGGGGGCCCTGATGGATCYGGGTTGGGAAGGAGCCAGGAGGGGCTAAAGGAGGGATCAGCTCTGGGCTTGAGTGGCATCACCAGGGRCTCGGGGGGACCACGGGGGATCAGGGATATTTGGGGAAGGGCAGGGGGCTAAGAAGGTTCAGGGGTCTCAGTGTGGCCATGTAGGGCAGGAATGGGTGACACAGGGCACTGTGGGGTCCCCAGGGGTGTTGGGGGGCATGAGGCAGAGGAAGGGGGAGGAAGGAGAGACCTGGGGGTGCCGGGGTCCCCCCTTGGGCGGGGGGCATCTCACCTGGAGGCCCCGTGCGGCCCTGGGCTCCGGGACCCCGCACGTCGCCCTCGGGGCCGCCTCGCCCTGCGCCGGAGCAGAACCTCCATGGGGTCCCCTCTGCTCAGCCCCCTTCCCCCAACCAGACCCATTACCACTGTCCCCTGGACACCCCCCAACCGCACCCACTGCCACCATCCCCGGGACCTCCCCCAACCCCAGGACACCCTCATCTTACCATCCTCACCAGGGCTCCCGCGGGCGGCCGGGGACCCCCAGAGCTGTCCGGGACCCCGTCCCACAGGGGGACCCCTGGGTGCCGGGGAGGGTGGCGGGTCGGGCGCCGAGAGCCGGGTGACCTGGCAAGGAGAGGTTGGCACCGGGGGGGGCACAAAGGCCCCTGTGGGGTGACCCCCCAGGCTCACCTGGGCCTCCAGCGCGGAGAGCCGGGCGTCCAGCTGGCCCAGGCGGCTGCAGTTCCAGCAGCCTGCGGAGCCGAGCGGGGGGTCGGTGGGGCCGGCGAGCGCCCATCCTGGCACCGCGCGCCCATTCCGGAGCCTCGTGGCTGTCCCGGCACCGCGTACCCATCCCCACCCCAGGCACCCACCTGAGGCGGCCGYGGGGCGCAGGGGGGTCCGGCGGGCGGCCGGGTCGGGCCGGGCCGCGTCCTGCAGCACCAGGGAGCTCCGAGGGTCTGCAGAGGGCGGGGGGATCTGCAGGGTCCCCCCCTGCTCCTGCCCTGTCCTTGCTCCCACTGGCCTCAAGCCCCAAGCCCACCCATGACCCCGGGCCAAGACCCCCTCAACACCCCCCATGGCCAGGAGCCAAATTTGCCCCCCAAAACACACAGGGCCGTGAGCCCCAAACCCACCCAGGACCCCAAGTCAGGTCCCCCCCAAATCCCCCAGGACCATGAGCCGGATCTCCCTGTACCCCCCACCCAGTGAGACCCCCCCAACTCAGCCCAGAGCCTGGGGTAGGTGGTGGGGGGCCTGTTCCCAGGGTCACTGTCCCCTTGGGCACAGAGCGCCCATGGGCKGCCTGTCGTGGCAGGAAAGGGGTGTCCGGGGTGGCATCCCGGCCCCCCACGCTGCCACCACACCCAGGCACTGCCGCCACCGCCAGAGGGGACAGCGCGGGCCTAAGTGGGGCCAGATGTGGGGCACGGGGCCAGCGGGAGGAAGAGGGCAGAGGGAAAGCACGCACTGAGGAGGAGGAGGAGGAGGAGGAGGAAGGGCCTCCCCGTCGCTGCTGCCACCCGGCTGGCTCCAGGGCCTCTGGGCATGTGGCAGCTGCCACCCCGGGGCGCCCCGGGCCCCCTCCCCTCCGCGCCACCCCCAGACCCACAAGTGTCCCCGTGCGGTGGGGCCGTGTGCTGGGAGTGTCCCTATCCCGGGGCCCCGGCCGCCCTGCAGAGCCAGCGGGGCCCCGGCGCGGCCGCTGCCCGCTCTGCTTGTCACCGCGGGCGGGCACTGCCACCCGTCCATCCACGTGGCCAGACGCGCATGTGGGAGCACCCACGAGCGCCCACGAGCGCCCACGCGGTCCCCTGTCCGCAGGCACAGCCGGTGCCCAGCCACCCCCTTTTACCCACTCACTGACTCGTTCACGCACCCATGCACCCAGGAACACTCTATATCCATCCATCCATCCATCCATCCATCCATCCACCCATCCATCCATCCATCCATCCATCCACATGTGGGTCCATCTGTCCATCTTTCCCCGAGAGATCCGTGGGTGGCCGGTTAACAGCACCCTCTGGTGTCCTGACGACACCCTGCAGGCACATCCACGAGCATCATCCGTCCGTCCGTCTGTCCGTCCGTCCATCCATCCATCCATCCACTCACCCATCCACTCACTCACCCATCCACATGGAGGTCCATCTGTCCATCTTTGCCCTCATACATCCATGGATGCCCAGTCCACATAACTTTCCGGTGCCCCTACCATGTTCTGCATGCACATTCATGAGCATCACCAATCCATCCATCCATCCATCCATCCATCCATCCATCCATCCATCCATCCACACACACACACAGGATCCCATCCATCCGTCCATGGGCACCCCACACTCTCCCATGCCCCTGCCCTGGGGCGGTGTGGGTGACCGGAGGGCCGCGCTCTCGGAGCGCTGGTGACGAGGTGGCCGCGGGCGCTACCTTGGTGGCAGTGGGTGCCGGTGTGGCCGGGGCAGCACTTCCACTCCAGCGCTGTGAGCGTCCTGTAGGCCACGCGGTACACGGGCCGCACCACGGTGCGGTAGCTGCCGGCAGAGCAGGGCGCCCGCGTCACCCACCGCGTCACCGTGATGCGTCACCCACCGCGTCACCGTGATGCGTCACCCGTGGCGTCACCACGTCACCGCGCCGTCACCGCGCCGCCGCTCACCTGCCGCCGCCGCACGCCGGGGGCCAGCGGCAGCTCTGGAAGACGCGCTGCAGGACGGTGCCGTTCTGCACGTGGCACGACACCGTCCGCGTCACCGCGTAGGAGCACCACTTGCTGCAAGAGGAACGGGGGCACCTGCAGCCCTGGGAGGGGGCCCTGGGGTGCCGGGCACGGGCACCTCGAAGCGCAGGGGGTCCCGAGTCCCGCTGCTCCCCACCGAGCGCCGTGTGCCTCCTGCACGGGCTGGCTGCACCCTGGGGACCTCGTCCCTGCTCCCAGGGTGCGGGCAGGATGAGACCCACAGGGGATGTCCCCTGGTGGCATCTCCTGCCCCTTGGCACGGAGGCCCCCGCATTCCTGCCGCATTCCCGGGCGGCTTGGGGTCGGCAGCGGCTCGATGGCCCTGCTGGAGCRGGGCCCACTGTCCCCCCGCGCCCCYGTGCCGTCCTGTCCCACACAAAGGCTCCTTTCTCTGGGTGCCTCCACTCGCGTGGCTGGCACCAGCCCAGGGCACCACGCTGGGRACAAGCACGGTGTTCCCAACCCCGAGTCCCAGCACTGTCCCACCAGGTGGGTCCCCTCGCAGCAGGAGCGGGGATGATGCCTGGGATGCTCTGGGAGGTCCGGGCGAACAGGCCCCGGCCCGTCTAATCTCCCCATCTCGGCACGGGCTCTGCTCCCGCTCCAGGGAAATGCCCGGCTTGGAAGCGGCCGTGGAGGCTGGGCCCGGAGCGCGCGGGCGCCCGCGTGGCCCGGCCTGACCCGACCCACCGCGGCACCCGTGCAGCGAGCGTGCCCGGGCTCTGCACCTGGCACTCGGCGCCTGGACCCACTCCAAATCCCAACAGTCCTTCCCCRGAGCATCCTCTTGGCTCTGTGCCCCCTGCTCCGGCATATGGGATCCCAGGGACGTGCTGGTGCACCGGGGAGGGTGCTGGCGGGCACCAGTGGGGCGACGGGCGCAGCAGGAGCCGGGAATTGGCCTGGGGGTGCCCAGGGCGGGGACAGGGGACAGGGACAAGGACAGGTTGGTGCCAAATCTTCCTGGGTTTGGCCGGGCGGGAAGGGGAAATGAGGCAGCTTCTGCCCGTCGCCTCGCCGACCCGAGCGGAACCGGGAGGTCCCGGCAATCCGGTGCTGGAGCTGGGGCCCGAGCCAGAGATTTCCTGTAAACAACCCCCCCGGCAGCCCTCCTGCCGCTCCGGCACCGTGGGGACAGTGGGGACAGGGTGCCACAGGCCCGCGGTGCTGGGGACACCGGGGTCCCCCCAGCGCCACATCCCGGACACAGCGGGATCTTGGGGATGCGGCTGCTCCTGGGAGAGCCCAGGAGTTCCAGGCAGCCCCAGGGGTTGGGGGTCACAGTAGCCCCACTAGCCCCCCCAGCTCCTCTAGCCCAAGCATCCCACTCCCCCAGTAGCTCCCTTACCCTTGGCTAGCGGGTCCCAGTAAGTCCCAGCAGCCCCATATTTGTGCCAGCCCTGGTGGCCCAGAGCCCCGGTGGCCCCGGTGGCCCAGTGCCAAGCAGCCCCACCGCACCTGGTACCGGGAGCTGGGCTGCACCGGGTGCCCGTGTCCCCATGCCCAATGTTCTGCCCCCAGCGCCCCGCTGTCCCCCGTGCCCAGTGTGCCCCAGTGCTCCGTGTCCCCCGCAGCCCCCGCTGCCCGGTGCCGGTGCCGGCGGTACCTGCGGGCCGAGGGCTGCAGCGCGGCCGGTCTCCATGTGCCGGAGCCGGGGGGCGGCAGGAGGCAGCAGAGCCCCAGGGCGAGCAGGCGGCGGGGCCAGCCCGCCCCGGCGCGGCCCGCCATGCCCGGTACCGCCCGGTGCCGCCCGGTACCGCCGGCCCGCTGCGGCTCGCTGTGCTGCGCGGCCACCGGCGCCGAGCGGGGCGGCCGCGGCTGCTGCTCGGGGAGGCGGCGGACGGGGAGGAGGAGGAGGAAGCAGGAGGAGGAGGAGGAGGAGGAGGAGACCCTCCGCCCCCCGCCGCTTTCCGCCCCCCCGGCCCGAGGGTCCCGCTGGCGGCGGCGGGCGGGACACGGGGCAGCCCCGGGGCACCGGGGCGGGGGGTCCAGTCCGAAGCTGGGGGTCCAGTCGGGGGAGCTGGTTGGGGTGGGATCTGGTCCAAGGGGGCTGGTCCGGGGGGCACCAAGAGCGAGCCGGCCGGGATCAGGTCCAAGGGGGGACACAGYGAGCTCTGATATGGGGGAGTCCGCTCTGGGGGGGGGTCAGGTCTGGGGGGTCCAGGGGGAAGTGGACCAGGGATCCTGCCGGGGGCCTGGAGGGACCACGGGTGGCTGWCGCCAAGTGGATCCGTGTGTCCCCGTGCGCCTGTGTGTGTCCGAGCKCCCGGAGAAGCCCGCGTGGGTGGAGGCTGGCGTGCGTGCGCCTGTGAGCGGCGAGTGTTTGTGTACAGGTAGCAGCGGGCGCGTCGGCGGGGCCTGCGCCGCTCCGCGTGTTTGGGTCTGTCCGGCTGTGCATCCGGCTGTGTGCGTGCATCCGGGTGTGCGGGGGAGCGTGTGTGGTCTCTGCCAGGGGCTGGAGGCGACGAGCGTGTGTGCGCGGGGGTGGGTGGTCTCCGGAGGGGTGTCGCGTGGGTCGCGGTGTGCGGGGGGTCTGCACAGGCGGAGGGCGCGCGGGTGCGGGGGGCTGCAGGGCTGGCTGTGCGCGCACACCCGCACAGGGTGTGTGGTCTGGGTGTGAGTGCGGGTGTGCTGGCGAGCAGGGTCTGTGTCACCCCAACGTGACGCCCTGTCCCCGTCAYCCCCCCGTGGGGCTGTTCCCATGGCGGTGCTGGGACACATCCCGCGGGGGGGGTACCCAAGGGTGACACAGAGCCCTGTCCCCCCGGCAGATGCAGGGCCAGCAGCGCCTCCGTTCCCACAATCCTGGCGCTGTGGGGAGGGGGCCCACGGGTGCCAGCCGCCCCTGCGCGGCGGCGACAGCAGAAAGGGGACCCTGTTCCGGCGCTGCCAGCACCGCTGGCGCCCGCGCAGGCCTTGGCCGCCCGCCCGGCACGTGGCAGCGCCGGGGGCTCTCGGCGCGGCCCCCTCGCCCTGCCTCCCGGGGCGCTTCAAAGAGCCTCTTTTCTGCCTCTTTTGTGGTGCCCCCGCCACGACGTGCTGCCGGCAGCGCGGGAAGAGCCGAGCGTTTCTTCCCGCGCCAGCGGGAGTGGAGGCTGCCCGGGCATCCGGGAACATGCCCGGCGCGCGGGAGCCCGGCGCCCACGGTGGCACCGCACGGCACGCGCTGCCGCCCCGCACCCCAGTCCAGCCCCAGGCGCCTCCGTGGTGCCACGGCCGCCAGAGGAAGGAGTGACGACGCGGTCGCCCGTGCAGCAGCACCCAAGGGTGCCCAGGGTGGGCACATGACCCTGTGGGCTCCCCCAGCTCCGTGCGCCGTTCCCACCATGGCGCCGGGCCAGGCGGCCGGGGACGGCAACGGGCAGCGGGCCAGGGAGCCGAGCGCTGCCAGRGCCGCCTGGGCCGGGGCCAGGGAGCCGGGATGCGCCGGGCTCCTCCTGCCGCCTCCTTCCTGCCCCCGGGGCCGCACGGCCGTGGGCAGAGCCCCGGRGTGGCGCCGGGACCCCGTGTGACGGGCACGGCCCCTGCCACCCACCCGGGTSACACTGAGTGGGCAGCGAGGCCAAGTCTGTGGGGCCATCACAGGGTCCACAGCATCACTGGGGGACCGATGTGGGGTGGCTCCCCTGTTCCCAAAGGGACACCGAGCCTGATCCCAGTGCAGCCGGGCGGAGGGAGGAGATGGGCCCTGCGGAGCGGCCGGCTGCCTGTTTACCCCGCGTCGGTCCTCCCGGCGCTGAAGGTCACCACGCTCCTCCTCAGACTAAACAAGGCCGGSGAGCCTTGGGCTACACTGCGCCCTGGGGCCCAGGCTGGGGCTGTGCAGGACTGTCCCCAAGGGTCCCCCCTCCTCCTGTCCCACTCCCTGCTCGGGCGCTTGGAGGCCTCCTGTGCTCCATGGCAGCGGTGGGAATCCTGCTCCGTGTCCTTTCCCTACATGGCCTTGTCCCAGCTTGTCCAAGTCTCTGTTTCCTGTCTCTGTCCCCACCTCCATATCCCTGCCCCAGTTCCATGTCTCTGTCCTGGTTCCATGTCTCCATGCCATGTCCCCGTCGCAGATCTCTGTGCCACCTCCACGGCCCTACACCACGTCCCTGTCCGGGGTCTCTGTCCCACCTCCATTTCACCATCCTCTTGATGAAGCCCCACAGAGGAGGTGACCACCCCACATACCCGAACATCCTCAGCACCCAGGGGCCAGAATTTCCCTGGGGTGGCTGGTGGGCACCCTTGGATGCATCTCCTGTCCACGGTGATGACTGCAGATGGGGTCTGCGGGATCCTGGTGCTGTGGACAAACTCAGAAGCCACAAAACCACCTGCAGATCCCTGAGCCTGGCCAAGCAGAGCCAGGGTGATGGCCAGGGTGACAGTCAGTGGCACAGTGAGGTGTGTTATGCATATGTCACCTCCAGCCATGTGATCTTCAAGGCCGTAAGCTCTAGTGGCCGCAAGGGCTTGTTCCTCTCCCCGGTTCCATGGCCAATTCCATAGGCTGGACCATGTAGTTGATGACCAAGGGACTCTCTGCCAGGCTCCATTACAGCAGCCTGTCCTGGGTTCTCTAAACCTGCTCCAGAGCCAAGAGCACCATTGTGGCTCYGGAGCACAGGGTGGTCACGCTCCACATCCCGGGGGATCTCGGGCCACCCTGGCCAGCAGGTGGTGGCTGTGGCAGCATCTGGAGCTACAGGTCCCAGCAAGGCCCCTGCGGTCACCATGTAGAGCGAGGGCAGGTGGTCCGGCTGAGCCGAAGGCAGCTCCGAGCTGGCACCGGGCGCCTCTCGTGGAGCTGGGCATGGAGCAGGGTCTGGGCTGAGCTGCCGAGGGGCTCCGGGGCCGTGGGCAGATCCCAGGTGGGGCTGTGGCTCCTTCAGGAGTCCCCACGGGGCTCCCCGTCCCTGGCCCCATGTCCCCTCCAAGAGCCCCAGGCCCCTGTGTGGTCTCTGCCCGGTGGGTCCCGCACCGTGGGGTCCCCGATGGGCCCCGAGTGGGGCCCCCCCCCGCGACGCGGGAGCCCGTTCCGGCCCCGCCGCTTCCCCGGCTCCCCGCACGCTCCCCCCGCCGCCGGCGCCGCTGCCCACGCGTGTCCGTGCGGCGGCGCTGCG